TTTCATTGTGCGTTAAACCGTTCGTGCATAGCACAGACTCGTAGTATTAATTATTACAGAGGGTGTCACAGATAGTAATTGCTGTAAATCAATTATATGTAGTTATAGTTTGCGTACTAATTAAGATTTTAGAAATGTAAATTTGCAATATGAATTATGACTCGCAGACGTATAAATTCTTATTATGAGTTTTGGGCCGTAACTACCAGTAAGTCGCATCAAGTTCTCCGCTTTGAACCGTGAACGCTCGTAGCAACACTTATTGCTAAATTCAAGCGCAGATTGTGTCATCCTAATCCGAAGTTGTTCGCAATTGGGTTTATCAAGTAATCAATACCATTGTCCATCTAAGCAGCTGAAACTCCGAAGTTTATAAACGTAATAGCGTCGAGTTTAATTGTCATTTGACCAGACAGCCTGCGTCCAATTAACTGACTCCCGAGATTATATCGTGACCCAAAGTCGCCTTTTTTGAATCTTATTTTCGAAAGTGCACCTTCGAGAATATAATTTAATAAATATCAAATGTAGAAATGCCTTCATTCTCTCCCCCGAAAGCTCCTCGGTGTTGGCAGAGAATGTGAGAGCGTTTTATAAGCAGTCTTGAAATATCGAGCCCAATTATCTCATTAGACCAAGTTATTTCGTAATCCAAATTTCATCTGACCCGTTTCCGTATTTACTTACTCGATACGGGTTATTATTTTTGGGAACGTATAATCTATTTCGTGGATTCCTGATAGAAAAATCTTAAACACTTTTTTCCTTCTCTGAGTGCACGAGGAAACCTCCGAAAGTTTTTTTCGTACCTATTATTTTAGCACTGTTATTTTGTTTAATGTCCCCGTAATTTGTTTGTTTTGCATCATTACCGTGTATTTAACATAAATTAAAATAGCAAGACCTTCTTCGGGTATATCGCACTTTAATAATGAAATAATTCAATCATTTTTAGCGGTCATCTTGACATTCAACAAACAGTAATTTTTCGTTTCGTGACTTTCGGCGTGTAATGCGATAGATACCAGGTCGAGCGCAGCACTAATATTTTTACAATGGAAACAACTGTCGCATAAGCCATTAGCTAAATCGTATTTTCCCGAAACTTCAAAGCATATTTTGCACGGGTTTGACACATTTTCCCAAATACGAACAAGTAATAAGTGTAATCGTAAACAATTAATGTGGCATTCTTTAACAATAAACTTCAATCTTTATCTTAAAAACAAAGTAGTTTAAATGACAGCAGGTAAAAAAACTATTACGCAAAGAATGTTGCACGCGGCGGACCCACAATGCAGCAAACTACAACGCTAGTCATTAAGAACATTATTCCGCCGTCACAAAATCTTTATAAACAGAGAGGTTCCTGGTGAAACCAGGAGGAAATTTATCTTTAGAGGGTACTTGTCGGGTTAGTTATAGATACATAATTTATAAAAGAAATAAAAATATTCATTGGTGTAAATATAACATAAAAATATTTGGTTTACTACACTTGAGAGCATCCATCGAACCGAGGATATTTGCGATTCCAAACAATAAAGCCCGGTTCTCATGACGTCCGACGGTCGGATAGTGTTCCTATTGGATGAAAATTTTAAAAATATCAAAAGATCGTCGGAAACTCTAATTCTCGTACTGTATTGTAGAGTTACAAACTGTTCTTCTCAACAATGCCAAAACTTCTTCAGCAGCTTTTTGAATAGTCATTTATGAATTTGTGAACTAGCTCATTGGATACATATAGCACCTGTACGTTTCGAGCAGAAGCTTGGCGGCGTTAAATAGGGTGGCAGGAGATGTGAATACACGCATTGACGATTGGTTAGGGTAACGGGAATACGCTAGAGTAGTTTATATGGTTCGAAATTTTTTAACATTTTTCTATGTTTTATTTGGGCGAATAGCTTCCGAGTGACAAACCTTGTTTTTTACAGTTTTTAAGCAGCAGGCCATGGATTCATGGAGATCCTGTTTTGTTTATTATATCCATAGTAACAAAGACAGCCGATACCAATCAATAAAAATGGCTGATGGACATTTAAAAAATTTGACAAATATGATGTCATACATAATTAGGTATATAACAAAAATGTAGGTTGTGATACATCAATGTAATCAGGAACAATAATGCAAAACATTGACGTTAAGATATACAGGGTGTTGCATTTAAAAAATACCCATTTTGGATCAAATCTCAGGAAAGGTGGTCCAAAAATTTTTTGATTACGCCACTGGATAGGATCCAAAAGTATCTAAAATAGGCAGTTTTTACCCTGTATTTCAGAAACAAACGTATCTACATTCTGCATGTGGTATTAAAAGGTTCGTAAACTAAATTTAAAAACAGCTGGGACTGCCAGTATTTTAGTAGAAAACGCATGTTTCTAATTACTAATTAGTAATGACGATTTTTTAATTGATTCATAAACTATACATGATAGGATTATGTATGGAATCGTCGGTTAAGTTGCATCCACGGCTCTGCGGGAGTACATTAATTATATTTTACATAACCGTTTGATATATAAATGTGGCTCAATTCCATTGCCTCGCCTCACTCCCAGAATTCCCTCTGGCGTGAGGCGATCCAATGACAGACCTTGTCGTGTACCTCTGTGTTCCACATGAAACGGCGACCCTCGAAGTGCTTCTTCATGAGTCTAAAAACGTGAAAATCGCATGGCGACATGTTAACCATGACCGCAATCTCATCCTCGGCTATGTGTCTGTTGACCTTTACAGCCTCATCACCGCGAGCACTCCTCCGTACTGTTCATATTGGGCCTTAGGGGCCTATAACACAAGCCGTACATGTCCTACAATAGGGTAGATGACACATTTTTTAAAACCAGTTATAACTGTTCGTATACCTCTACTATAACTTTAAAATATGATATTTCAGCAAAATAAATCATATTATTTAAATTGTAGATTTTTATTCTAGCGCCAAAACGCTGTTTTGTGTCATGGCGGTGTCTGTGACGTCACAGTCCTGACAATTAGAAACACATAACCCCAGCGTAAATAGTTTAAAAGATTTCGTGATGAATTATAACTACCGTAAGTGGTGCCCTACCATGGAGTACACTTTGTCGTGGTGTAGGGCTCAGTAGTCACATTTTTCTGTGGCACAGCTAAGTGTCCCAGGCGGGTAAATCTGGTTCCAAAGATGCTGTATCATTCAAATGCTTCATGGAGTACAGAAATCCAAAAGGGTTTTCGATGATTGCTCATTAAACGTAATATACAAAACTATATTGACATGAGTAGCGCATTTTTCACGTACGTTAACTCCTGACGCGTGCGGTAGACGACAATTTGGACAACTTCCGATTGAGCCATTTGCCAATAGAGTTTCGAATAATCGGACTAGATCATGACTTGTTAAACGTGATAAAGGAGACTTTATCGACACTAGTACTCCTTTGGACTCTGAGGGGTTTGTAAAAGTAGCTTGATGGTACGACAAAGAAAAGAATTGTTTTCTTCGTCGACAACTAAGGAAACTGCACACAGCTTTGCGTGAACCGTATGTTGCGGGCAAATTTTGACTTAACTGTGAATAAGTCTTCTGTTCGAATGCACCCAATGTAAGAGTGCCCGCCATAAAAACTGTTTTTCCAAAAAAAATTGTTTAACAAACTACTTTATAAATTTAGACCTTTATCTACAAAATGTTCGTAACAGAAAACTCTTAGGGCCGGTTGTATAAAGTCCGGTTGACTAAAGGTTGAATTTGAACCGGAGGTTAATTGTAAGATTGTGTTGCACGACCTCAGGTTGACTCTACACCGACGGTTCAACCGCCGGTTCGGTCAACTTGTAGTCCAAGTAGCGATTGGCTAGTCAACCGCCAGTTCGAATTTCAATTTATAGGTTATGATTTTTTCCCGAGTACATCGCGTGTATTTTATTGAGTTTCATCTTTCATATTTTGTTGATAATTGGAATTAAGTTTCTGTTTATTATGGATGCATCATCAGATTCTGATCAATATCAAGTTATGAATAGTAGTAGCAGCTCTAGCTCTACAGATTCAGATGAAGAATTACTTTTAGAGCTAAATCGTAGAGTCAGGCGCGAACGTACATTTCGAGAAAGACCAGATAATTTTACAAAGTGGTCTGACCAGGAATTTACGATGAGATTTCGTTTGCAAAAGGAATCTGTTCTTTTTTTATTAGAATTAATCGAGGGCCAGTTGGCAACTATAAGTAATAGGTAAGTGCAAACTTCAAATTAATCACTGTTTACAATATTTCTGTGTGTATTTCCAATAGGAATAAGGCGATTACACCTATGAACCAGCTGTTATTAACATTACGCCTGTATGCTACAGGGAATATGCTCATAGCTGTTGGAGATTTTAGTGGGGTCCACAAATCCACGGCTTGCCGGATTGTAAAAAAAGTTACAGCTGCTATTTGTACTTTATCTGAAAACTACATTCGTATGCCTAATACTGAAGAGGAAATAAGAAATCATCAATTGGCATTTTACAACATTGCCAGATTTCCTCGTACAATAGGAGCCATCGATTGCACCCATGTCCGCATACAATCCCCAGGTAATTAATAAATTATGCCAATTTATCTAATTCGTAACTTCAAATATATAAAATTTGTAGGAGGCCACAATGCAGAGTACTTTCGTAATCGAAAGGGATACTTTTCTTTAAATGTACAAGTTGTTGGGGATGCATCTCTTCGAGTGCTGGATATAGTAGTGAGATGGCCTGGATCTACACATGACCAAACCATATTCAACAACTCTAGGATTCATGCCCGCTTAGAGAATGGTGAATTCAATAACAGCATAATCTTAGGAGATTCTGGTTATGCCATACAGAAGTATTTAATAACACCATTACTGTATCCAATTGATAATCAATGTTGCTGCTTTTTATATATAATTCAAATGACGGTAATAACTTTAATTTTATGTTCAACTGTAATTCATGTGATATTTTAGCATGGCCTGATGATGGGTAGATAGAAAACCCGAAATCGATCGCCTTTTAGAAATCTAATAAACATTTGTGGTTCCTTTTATATCATAAGAATTTACAACGAACCCAAAATAATGGAGAACTACATTACATAAATGTTAATGTGTTAAGGTACACTTACCGTTTGCTGGTGTACTTGCCACACTTTCTTCTACACAAGGTTCTACATATACCACCTCTATGCCTTCAACATCTTGCATTTTATCATCAAGAGGTTGTGTGAAATGTTGGTCGTCATCACCTGCCTCTGCCACAGACTTAGATGTCTCTTCAAAGTTGCTTGTTTCAGAAGTACTTAAACTACCTATAAGCACGTCACATTAATACTAAACAAGTGTAACTGTTATGCTTACAAAAATCGCTATCACCAACAGGTGGTTCAATGCCTTCCATAGAAAGGGTTGTAATAGCCCGTATTTTTTCAAAAATATGTTTTAAAATATCACTGATGACATTTTCAATAACACCCCCACCTGTTCTATAAATATCTTGCCTCTGCTTTGCAAAGTATCGCCTTGCATCCTTTTTCAAATTGTCGTACTTGGTACGTAGTTGCTCAGGTGTCTTCTTCTCCATGACGCTTGCATTAAAAGCATCTGATATTTTTATCCATGTTGCATCCTATATTAAATAATATGTCCATGTTAAAAGTAGGTACAAAATTTAGCTATTTACCTTGTCTTTCCATGTCAGTGCATCTGTTTTCTTACATTCAATTATATGTTTATACTTATACACCAAGTCCACTAACATATTACTAAAGATAACACGCTTTGCACGTGGTACACTCATCTGCAAGTTACAATTTACTAACAATTATTTTATTCGCAATACACTTACCTTGTAACAAAGGGTAACTTCAACACCAATCTCGAGTCAACAAAATTTATATTATATGAACAACAATAAGACAAACTGATAAAAAAATCGCAATTCACAAGTGTACTTTTTGGTTAGAAATCCACAATTTAAATCAGCTGTTTATATTTATACCTGTCAAACACATCTCTTACGTGATTGGTTGAATTCCAACCTGCACTATGACCAACTTTACAATTTTTTTTTTCAACTCCAGGTTACCCAAACGCCGATATATTTTGTTTTATACAACGCCTGCGTTTTCCAACCGAAGGTCGAATTGAACCGTCGGTTGTTCAACCTTCGGTTGTAGTAAAGTTTTATACAACCGGCCCTTAAAGTGGACATAGCTTACTGAATCATCTCCATATGATAGCTTCGATGACCTAAAAACAAAGCATCTTAAGTACACATTCCTCTTAAATAACTACCTTTCTTGTCAAAAATCTAAGCTTAACCTAAAAACCTAGAAGACTTATGGCAGTTTTCTGATGAACAAAAATCTGTGTTTGACGCAAGAAATATTACCAACATCATTTTATCAATGTTTGGCAGATTTGCTGCTATCAGCTTTCGTATACCCATTTTCCATTCTTATCTGGTTTTAAAAACTAAACTGTAGGATAATATAATCACTATAAAATGCAGCAAGCACTAAATTAAAAAACGTAGACAAACTCTACAAAGCAGAGGATTAGGATTATGACGTCACGCGCTCTGATTGGCGTTTGATATCACGTGACAAATGTCGTTATTTTTTAATTTTAGTTTTACTAAAATATAATAGTTTCTCGTGTGCATTACCAAAGAAAGTTATTTTGCGATACCCTGACACCTTACTCTATTTAATGAAACAAAAATTTACTTATTCTTTTTCCACTGTCATGTACCCTATTGTTAGAATATATTTTACACACATATACCGAAAACTTGTAGACTTGTTACAGTTGTATAGTTTGTGTTATACGCCCCAGATGTCCCTTACTTAATGCGTCTATCTAAATCGAATAATTTACATAAATGAAATAATTTAAACAAAAATTATACAACTACAAACAAAACCAGCAGGAAAGATAACACTGAGTGACAAATTCAAATAAAGCGAGGCAACTCTGTTTTTATTCGTGAATAAAAGCTCCTCTCGATTTACAGTTAAAAAATTGAATTACCGATATACAGGGTGTTCCGTCATTATTTTCTGTGTTTAAACCGAAATAACGTTTGCACGTTTACACAACAGTATGTAATTTACAAAAAACTCACTTTTAGTTTAATGCTATGTGTAACACTCCCTTGCCTTGCGACCCAGAAAAATGATATAAAAAGTGCAGCGCGCAGATTCAACACTGATCCGAATCCTCTTAGTCACCTGAATGTATAATATAGCATTATGGCTAGCAAGGTTTACCAAAGAATGAACCTATTAAATAAGACCCATTGGTTTTTTCGGGATCGCCCGAAATAAAAAAAATTGTTTTTGCTGGATCGGTGATTTAGTTTTGTTTTGAAAATTCGGCTACGTTACAAAAATAAATTTAAAGAAAAAGTTTAATACGAAAGTTTCTTGTTTCGATAGGACAAATTCAAGAATAGTGTCAAATTAAAATTTAAAATGGCGACTATTGACATGTGAAAGAAGTTTCAAGATGAATGAGTTTTTTTTAACCAGGCGTAATGTAGGTTTTTCTGTAATTGTCATCTTCTCTCTTGATTGGCCATAGAAAGAATGGATTGATAAAATTTATTCTCAGTATCGAAATTAATCTACTTTGGCAGTGATTCAAGGTGTAATTTAAAAGGACAGTGGTACTAATGTTATTACTTTCAGTTCATTTATGCAAACATTTTATACAGGGAACGTTCAATGCAATGCTCATAAATACGGCCTGAATAGTGAATGAGCGACTAAAGTAATTGGAATAGTTAGGGAATTGGTTCATTGAAGGGATGTACAGGCCGCTACCGCGATCATACATTTTAGTGTGATAACTAATATTACAGCCGGTGCTTCTAGTGTAATTCAAAAGTCTGTAAAAGTTTCGCTTTGGTGCGATATTAGAATTGAGCAAAGCCAGTAGTGCGCCGGATGTTCTTGTTTGTGGAAATGAACAATAGATACTGTGCAACTTGAAATAGAAGTTGTAGAACTTTGTTTCAAATGGAAAACTTCACTATTTGATATTCGTCGTTTTTGTATCGGTAACGGTGCACCGGTTTCAAAAATTTATGTTTTTTCATAATTTCCTAATTAATTTCATTATAATATCGGCTAATTTTTACTAAACGGTATGTATTCGAAATGCATTATTGGTGTAATTAATAATTGATATATAATCAATCTGGGGATTCTGGTCTAAATGTAATACACAAAGCGGATGTTGGGTCGCTCTGTGTGCTTAGGAAATAGCAGCTTATCATATTGAAAACCAAACTTCTTTGACCATTCCCAAGACATACATATATTAAAACCTTGCATCAAATACGACAGTTAACAGTCAGTTGAAAATATGAGGATGAATTTTTTTGTTTGATAAATTCCGTCGACAGACCCAAATAATTTAAGGTAATGTAGAATTGGTGTTCCCATTAATTTCAATAATTGATCCAAATTTATGACAGGAAAGATTGATAACGTCAATTGTAGGTAATTTTTAATTCTTTTTTCCCTCATATAGTAAACTGTAAATATCGAACGGCCTAACTAGGTAATCACTGAGTTTGTTACTTCATGTACAACTGCAGTGTAGTAATGTACTAAACTTCGTCTAATCCCGCAAGTAATTGTTATTGGGAAAATAAACCCAGTCAATTATATTGTACGATATCGCACACCGCCATGCTTGATGGGATACTCATTTCAAGGCAGTTATATGACAAGTAAACATTTAATCAAGTGATATCGTGCAAATATGGATCAGTTTACATTAACTTACGTGTACTAAACTAACTTTTAGTGAATCCGGATTCATTACTAATTGTCTCTTGTAATTTCAGACAATGTTAATTAATTTTGTTGTTGATTTACATTTACGATTCATTTTATATAAACTAAACATCCCTACAAATTAACAGCTCATTACTGAAAATCCGTAGGGTTCATTTCTTTGCTTATTTATTAGGATATAAGTTCCTGTATATAGAGAGAAGTAGATAGATTATTCATCTATACCGACTCCAGCACAGACGCACGATTATCATATTTAGGAATTATTTCGAGGTGTATCACATCGTAGATGCAATTTACCTACAACATGAAAATATTATTGTAAATATGGATATTGTCGATTCTTATTTTAGTGAATACATTTGAGTCATTTATTTTCAAGTGTATGGCAGTGACAGTTTTTGCATTAATTATACTTACTCCAGATTCCAGAAAAAATCTTTTGGCTTGGTTTACATGTTATTTGTTTGTTGCTGAAGGTTCAAGTAGTTCGTCCAACTGCCGTATTAGTTAACTGAACAGTCTCTTGAATATTCGAACGTTAGCTGTTATTCGGACCTACCATTTGCCCTTCGTGAGAATGCTCTTCTTAACCCACGCGGTCGAGATATTCAATTTGAAATTTTGATCCCATCAGTGAATACATTCTAGACTTACTACATTTCCATTTATTGTATTCCCATTTTGAGCTTTGCCCACCATCCGCTTTGTTTTGAGCGTCCTAGGCCCTGCAGCACCAAAACTTCTAAAGCTTATATGCTGTAGCGAAGAAACTACGTCGATAGGCTTTCAAAAATAAAGATCAGATACAATGTGACCGACAGACGGGGTTTGTAGAGCAGCCTTGGCTGAAATCCCGCCCACTCAAAAATCGAGGAGGAAGACTATGAGTGGTAAAAGTTAATTCCTTTCATTGCGACCATTCATTAGAGTACCATGACGGATAAAACCAGTTTATACCATGAAGGGTAGAACGTCTATTTACCCCCTGTCCCTCCCCGATTTTCAAAAGTTCAACATGGCATCACTACAGCATGTGCATGCAAAATCTGAGACAAATTTGTTGTCCCACATTTCTTTTAATTCTTAAAAAATGCGCTACAAAAATATTATTTCCAAAACGAGAGAAACACGGAACATTAAATTGGCGTCTTCTCTAAACTGTAGATACTAGGGGGGCCAAATACAATATCAAATTAAATGTACTTTTATACACTCAGTTTTTAATAAAGGATGATTTGACCTAAATATTGCCGTTAGCGCGTTGTTTAAGAAAAACCGAAAAAAGTCAGAAATTTTCGTTGATTTTTGACCACAGAAATTTCTCCCGAAGTCATTGGTATTAACTTGGTTTTTTCTCTCTCTTTACTATTTAAATAAGTCGGAAAAATAAAACTTCTACCGCCCTTTTGTACGCATTTTAGCGTTTTTACGCCTAATTTGACTGGACTAATGCTCCTATATATTCTGATTTTTGTGTAATTATGTGTTTTGCATATTTTTTACTGACGGTTGAATGTCTGTCATATCAAACTAAATGATTAAAAACTAACTCGTCGCATCTTTGGGCCTGTGTAATTTCAATATAATATACAAATTCTGTCTGCGTATATGGTGTGCGCACGCAAGTGAAACGTGGGTGTGCAGATGAAGACTATTAAATCGTATGCAGTATAAATACAAACACTCTCGTATGTTCCCTAATAAACTACATTGTGATTTGAAAGTGGCTTTTTTGTTCTGGAGAGACAATAATAAATGTTTCCCATGTATTGATGGAATTTTGTTTATGTAAATGTTCAGGGATTTATTTTGCAAGCGTTGTAGCTGATGTTCATCAAAATAAGTATGCTTTTTGTATGGCGTCATTTCCATTTGCAATTTGCAGTTTAAAGTTCAACTCATTCAGGGTAAAGAATTCGCGGCTGAACTTTTCGTATTCACTGCATAT